TGCTTAAGCATATTCGAACCTGTTTCAAAAATTTCATATGCTTTAAAAAAAAAACATGTATATTCCTACCTATCATTCTTATTTTTAATATACGTAATGAGTTCAAAAAACATCGTTGTATATATTTATTATGGCACGTTTCGTAAGTTTATTTCCGTTAAGAATTCTTTTGTATGTTGTGATCCGAAATACTTTCGTTTCGAAAGAAATTTTATTTTTTATCAATATTTCTAAAAATAAAACCGTAAAAATTTAATAAGTTATTTTACTGAAAATAAAAATTCATTATAAACATTTTGGGATTTAAAGATGTTAATTTTTACAATTAAAATCAGTCTGGCAAACAAATTTTCTTTATAGACTTCAAAACGTTGTTTGGCAAAAATGTTTGTTTCGCAAGTGCGACTTCTGAAACCGCTACTTTCGTATGTTGCAAAATAGTTTTGTTTCGTATGTCAACTTGCGAAATGCGAAATTTCGGAAGTGGCTTTTGCGAAATGAACATCGGCGATTTTAAATGTTTTGTAACATTCGGTACGAAAAAATGTAATTCCGTGTTCTCAATCTCCTTACGAAAGAATGTTGTTTTTCCGGAATTGCACGAAATCCTCCGGTTAACAACCCAAATATATATATATATATATATATATATATATATATATATATATATATATATATATATATATATATATACATATATATATATATATATATATATATATATATATATATATATATATATATATATATATATATATAAATATGTATATATATATACATATATATACACATATATATATATATATATATATATATATATATGTATATATATATATATATATATATATATATATATATATATATATATATATATATATATATATATATATATATATATATATATATATTAGGGTGGGTCGAAAAATTTTTTTTTTTCTTGTTACAGGCTCTAAACATTGCTAATAGTTATTAATTATGATACTATCAAATATGAGAATGATTGTGATAGATTTAAAGGGCGCAACTTTATTGGGAAAATTACCGGTACCCTAATATTTTGGAGAAAAAAAGTTTTTCAAACCTGGTACTTAAAATAAGCGAAACTTTATAAAAAGTTCAAAAATAATAATCGTTTTATAAAAATCATATTGTCAAAAAAAATTTTTATTTAAAAACATGTAAAAATGCACCTTTTTCACTTTTAGTTAAAAAACTATAGTTATTATGCAATAAAATCTAAAATAATAATTTTTATATAAAAAATTTTTAAAATTTTTATAAAATTTCACTTTATTTGAGTACCTACATGACATAATTTTGAAAATTTTTTTAATTTAACTTGCTTTTACTTGCTAATTTTTGCAATTTTTGTAATTGCGGGTGGAAGACATTGTTCAATCCATAAAAGTAAATACTTTCCTAAATTAGTACATAAAAAAACAACTTTCTAGCAATGTTTAGAGCCTGTAACACGAAAAAAAAATTTTATGACGCACCCTAATATATATATATATATATATATATATATATATATATATATATATATATATATATATATATATATATATATATATATATATGTATATATATATATATATATATATATATATATATATATATATATATATATATATATATATATATATATATATATATAATATATATATATATATTATATATATATATATATATATATATATATGTATATATATATATATATACATATATATATATATATATATATATATATATATATATATATATATATATATATATATAATATATATAATATATATATATATATATATATATATATATATATATCATAGATTATCCTGGCCATATTTTAAAAATCCGGAAATTTTTTCCTCAAATGTCCAGAAAAAATCCGGAAAATGTTTTTGTAATATCCGGAAAAAATCCGGAATTTACAAAGAGATGTTAACAAGGAGGAAGGGGGTGTGCTCTCCTCCATCTTTTATATTACTATAACATTACACCAGTTTAAAAGTATCCTTATTCACCGTATATATGAATAAAAAACTACATAGTTTTTTCATCAAAAAATAATAATAATAACAATAAAATTTTAACAATAATAATAAGAAGAAGATGAAGTTAAAGAAGAAGTAGAAAACTATATTTAAAAGCTGTTAAACAATGCGGAAACTTTTTTAGACATGCTTTTATACATTTAAATACATAATGAATAATGAAATATTGCCTCAATTCACCAAAGATATACAAATAGAAAAACGTTTAACGCATTATTTTAGCGTTTTGGTTTTTTTGTAGTAATTTTACAAAATAAACCGACATATATCAGACACTTTAGCTTGCCAACTTCTTTCAGTAAACATTTTATTACCTGCAAAACACCAACTTTTGGAAAATATAAATGAATTTTATTTTAACTATTTTCGGAGCATACTTCAATCGCAGTAAAAAGAAAGACAATAATAATAATAATAAAACACCAGACTTCTAAAATACAAAAAATAAGAAATCTTTAGTAATAAATATGTTAAAAAAGAAAATAAATAAATAAAAAGTAAAAAGATATTGAATTATTTTTCTGTAATCAGTTAGTTTTCTACAATTAGTTCTTTCACTCAGTGCTCAAAATGTTCTAAACTTAATTTTTAGTACAACGACTTCTTCTATTAAAAAATCTCCACGTTCAAAAATTATAAAAGTTTAAACATTTGTTAGATAAAGTTTAAATAAAAATTTTAAATTTATTTTAACTATGATAAACAAAAGGTGAGGCATTATTAATGATTCACGTGCTCATTCAGGTCATTCAAAATTTAAAAGAATTAAAAATATGATTTTTTTTTAATTGAAAGAAAATAAAATTAATTTTGACACATGCTTTTTGAATTGAAAAGAAAACGTACCTCAAATGCGATGTTTTTAAAAACCAAATAATGGCACTTAAAAGCAATTTGATTCACTTGACGTTTAGTCAAAGTACATATGTTTAGATTTCTTTAAAATAATTACATGGAATAAAATCCTTATAGTTTAGAATATAGTTTTATTATATAACACTTATTTGTATGTAATAACTTATTACTAACAAAGTAATTAATCTTAGTAATAATAAGTTTTTTTCACCCTTTACGAAAATAAGTTGTACCGCACGACCATATTACACCACGGTATTACAGTAACTGTAAGATTAATAGAAGTTTCTACTAGTTAAAGGTCATACCAAATTTCTCATTCTTAGATCGAACTATACATTGTTTCACTGCACTCTAGAATTAGATTTCACTAATCTCTAAAGAGTTTAAATTTAACGATTATATCTCATATTTGACGGAAATTAAAAACTGATTTCTCTGACAGCTTTTGTATTACTCTACCATCGTCATAACTTTTTAAATACCATCATCAAAACTTTTTAAAGTCTCCAATTAATAAGAAATTATGCAAAAAAATTATATTTTCAAGAAGTGTACGAATAGAGATTTGCAATGGTACGACTGGACAGAAAACGAAATAATGATGCAGTAAATTTTGAACCACCGACAAATAAACTGAGAGAAGTTTCAGCCCATAAGCGAAGTGATTTACTTAAAAAAAGTTTTAAAACAATAAAAAAAGAAATCTCTTTGCTAATAGCTAAAAGAGCTATTTAAAAAATGTAAATTTACAACATTTTTAAAAAAGAGAAGAGTTTGACACGCATCGCTAAATTTATTTTAAATGTAGGAGATCATTCGCTCTTTTGCGCTGGAATTTTTCTTAAACTTTAATTAAAATGCTTATTAATTTTTGGTTTACTCTGCGAGGGAAATTTTTTAATCTTTTTGGTTTTGTTTGTTAACTAAATATAACATTCCGTAATTTATGGACAACAAATTTACTGTTAATATATACTTGTTACTGTTTCATTTGATAGAGATAAACAGAAAAAATTTTATAAATTGTATTTTCGGAAACTAATTATCCGGAAAATATAAAAAGTTTAAAAAATATCCGGAATTCCGGAAATATCCGGAAAAAGATAATTCCTGATATATATATAATATATATATATATATATATATATATATATATATATATATATATATATATATATATATATATAATATATATATTATACATAATATAAGTATTTATATATATATATATATATATATATATATATATATATATATATATATATATATATACATATATATATATATATACATATATATAATATATATATATATATATATATTATACATAATATAAGTATTTATATATATATATATATATATATATATATATATATATATATATATATATATATATATATATATATATATATATATATATATATGGGGCTGTCCATTAATTATGTCAACCAATTTTTTAAATTTTTACCTTCCCCCCTCCCCCTTGTCAACAATTTGTCAAATTTCCAGAGACCCCTCCTATAAAATTACGCCAATTTTTGATTACCACCCCCACCCCCCAATACAACAAAACTACGCTACAAACTCAGCCTAATTTTCTGTTATTTAAACAATAAAACTCAACAAAAAAAAAATTGTTGACATCAACTTTAATTGACCTCCCCCTCCCCCTTGTCAACAATTGTCAAAAAAGTTCAGACAACCTCCACCTATTTTGTTGAGGTAATTAATGGACAACAAATATATATATATATATATATATATATATATAATATATATATATATATATATATATATATATATATATATATATATATATATATATATATATATATATATATATGTATATATATATATATATATATATATATATATATATATATATATATATATATATATATATATATATATATATATATATATATATATGTATATATATATATATATACATACATATATATATATATATATATATATATATATATATATATATATATATATATATATATATATATATATATATATATATATATATATATATATATATATATATATATATATATGTAAAAATGATTATATGTTACTTACTATCATGAATCATTCCAATATTATGGCCCATTTCATGAGCAACAGTATTTGCTGTCATAGCAGGGTTGCCATGATACTAAAAAAAAATTAAATCTGAATATTTAAAAATAATGTGTTAACATATTAAAAAAAATGACTTTTTTCCAATAAGAATCTATCTCAAAAAAGATTCTACTATAAAAGTTGAGCTTCTAAATGTCAAGTTGACTGAGCCACTCCTGAGCAATGACACAGTAATGTCTGTCTAAAATTAGTATTTTTAAAACTTGTCATTAAATAATATTTTTAAAACTTGTCATTAAATTAAAAAAGACTAGAAACTTGTTGTTTTAATAAAAAAAAAAAAATTAAAATAAATGTGGCACCATAATTTAGGAAAAATAAAAAAATAAGGATCAAATTTTAAAAATAAGTAATAATAAAAATTTTAATATTTTATTTTTATTAGATATTTTTTTTACTTATAAAATTCAATTATAACTTTCAAAACTTATGTTATGTTTTTTATTTTTATTTTATTTTACAGCATATAATTTTAAAACTATGTTCTTATTTATATTTGACAAATTTCTTTATCAACTTTTAAAAAAAGTCTCATAAATAACCCTTAGTCTTCAAAAAAATTTGAAAATTATCAAAATTTTTTATAAAATGGTATCACCTTCCAAGGCCAAAGAAGGTTACTTTTTTTATTTTAATTTATTTATTGTTGTTAAAACCTTCTTATGATCTGAAATACAAATGTTGACAAAGCTGTTGCACAGAGAACTAAGTTAAACTCTGTATTACTAGGAAACAGTGGTGATCGAATTAAGTACTTCTTGTTTACCAAGCTAATTCTTACACAACACCAATACAGCTACTTTAAAACTTTAAACAATCAGAATGCAAAGACATGGGTGTTGAAAAAGTACGCAAGAGGATATGAAAGAACAAATAATAACTAAAACTACAATTTAAAAAAAAATACCTGATTTATTGCACACGATGAATAACCACACATTGTACCAATTGGTGCTAGCCCAACAGTGTCACCATCAAAATCAATACCACTTAAAATGAAAAAATCACTAAATATGATTTTATACAATTAACTCATTTTATTTGTTTCTGATAAGTATCTAATGTAAAAAATACTTTCTATCTATATATGAAATTTACAATTTATAAATCAAAATTATTAAATTAAAAGTAGTTGACTTTGACTACCTAAATGTGTTGATTACCTAAATGTGTTGATGATCTATTTTTGACTAAAGTCAAAAATAGATCAACACATACTATGAGAAAGTCAAAAATAGATCATCAACACATACTATGAGAAAGTCAAAATAAGATCATCAACACATACTATGAGAAAGTCAAAATATAAAAGCAAAGTGCATATAAACCAGGATCAATTGCACAAATAGATGCTTTGAAACAATTTAAAATTAAGAAAAAAAGGAATTTGCACATTTAATATGTTATTAGAAACAAACTTAAGCAAATCAAACCAAAATAACTTTGATAAATCAAAGTTAGAATATAATAGTTCAACAGATTATGTCTATACACAAATGCAACTTAAGCAAAAAAATAACAAACTACTGATGGCAATTATTAACTAGCAAATTTTAGTTAGTAAAACATAGTGGTCAGACAAACTAGCTGCTATATTACCAGGTTTTAATTTGTACCATAGGAATTGTATTTATGTTGATGAAAAATTAGATCATACAAACTGAAAAAAGTTTATCATAACTAGAAGAATATAAAATATTGAGCAAAGAAATAAAACTCCTTGTGAAAACAAGCATAAAAAATATAAAAGCAACAAACTTGAAACACAATCTGAAACCAGTTTATGCGTACATAAACAGTAAATCCAAAGCATATATTATTATTATGCATATATAAACAGTAAATCCAGTAAACAAAAAATCACTGATGTCAGAATTAAAATGACAAATATAAATACTAAATGAGCTTTTTAAGTTTTTAGAAAAGAGGATATAAATAATATACCACAAAGGTTAATAAATATTATTGAAGATGATAATCAATCAATCAATATATTCTGAATTACATAATCTTACAATTCAAAAATGTTTACAATATATTTATTAATTGTTGTTATATATATATATATATATATATATATATATATATATATATATATATATATATATATATATATATATATATATATATATATATATATATATATATATATATATATATATATATATATATATACATATATATATATATATATATATATATATATATATATATATATATATACATATATATATATATATATATATATATATATATATATATATATATATATATATATATATATATATATATATATATATATATATATATATATATAACAACAATTATCTAAATAATAGATTTACAGTTTTAGATAAAGAAAATAAAACTAATAGTAAATTGAAAAATTTTAATTGCAAAGAGAAGATTAGTTTAAATCAAAGTTTAAAGCCATACGAGCAAATTTTACCTTAAGGGCATTGGAAAGTGAAAAAAATAATGTTACTGTGTATTGAATGTCTTAATGGAGAAATGAGATTGATACTAAAAACAATAGAGTGAGACTCCATATTGGTTAACAATCTATTTAAAGAAATAAAAGTAAATAAAAATATAATCAAAAGAGTTTACAAGGAGCAATCCACTAAGCAGCTTTATTTTAGTGTAATTAGCCAACAACACAAACATAGTAGAAATTTTAAAAGCTGCTAGAAAACTTAGGACATAGAATAATTTTCAAAAAGTATACAATAATCTGGATCAAACCAAGGTTGAAACAAAAGGAAACAAAAGAAAGAACTAGTTATTGTTTAGTTATTTTTAGAATCTTTGTTTTTCAATTTTTGTTATCCAATGTGGATAACAAAAAAATATTCTAAAGCTAATAAAATTTCCTTTTTTAACTTTAAAAGTTATTAAGGTTATATACCCTATACCCCATATTACCATACAAAAATATAACCGCATATAACATTATGTTTTTTTCATACGAATTATACATTAAACATAACAGGAAATTCCCATTATGTATATAATTAAATATATAATTTGTATGAAAACATAATTTGTATGAAAAATACATAATAGTATTTGCTGTTATGTTTTTTCCATACAAATTATACAATTGAACATAACAATAATTACCCGCTATTAAACACAGAAATCTATATATATACATATATATATATATATATATATATATATATATATATATATATATATATATTGTCATCAAAAGTTTAAATTTATACTCTATAGCTAATATTTAATTCTTTAATTAATTCTTATGTAATTTATCAACTATATTTTAGAAATTGAATTTATAGATAGTCTAATAAAAAAAATTATAACAAAGCAACTAATTTGTTTCAAGAATTATTTCAAAATTGATGAAAACAATTTTAGCAAAACATCTGGTAAAAAAAATTACAAAGTCCAAACTAAGGTGTATGAAAGCAAAACATGAAAAGGTTTTGCAGAAAATAGTAAATTTAAAATGTTTCAAAAATGGTACCACAAACAAAAAAAACATCCTGTAATGAGAACTTCTTCAACCAGCAAATAACATAGTATCAGAATACATGCACAAAATAAAAACAAACCAAGAAAAGTGAGATAATGATAGTAATGAGAAGCTTGATGACATGTTTAATAAACATAAGAATTCGACATTAAGTGAATCCATAACTCAGAAAATAATTAATTAAAATATAAGAAATGATGTGTAGACATCTTTTTACTAAAAGGAGAAGATTTGTAACAAGATTACTATGCATGCACCAAAAGCATATTTTTAAAGTTTTGGCGACCATGGATTTCATATGGATAAACTACATACCACAGCATTCTAAGCTTTTAATAAATAAAACCATAGTGGATTAATTCAGGGTTGCATTCAATGATTGCAATGCTTGAACAAAAAAAAGTCTTACACTAAATAGAAAGTATATATTATAGAAAAACCTTATTAATAAGTTATACAGATCTTTATGCAATGGCAATTAGTTAAAAATAATTTGAAAAAACTGACTGTGCAACAGCAATAGCGGTGTAGCGGTCTCACTTCATAAGCGAGAAGTTCCAAGTTCAATTCCCACCAACAAAAAAAACTATGATTTAAAATTGTAGTTTTTTAAAATTTAGCAAAAAAGTGTGTTTGTGATAAAAGATGTTATATAACTATTTTGTGTGCAGAAAAGTGTGTTTGTAATAAAAGATGTTATATAATTATTTTATTTTAATATGCGAATTTTATAGTAAGAAATTTTATGTTTTTTTAACTTATAGTCTTTAGGGTGTAATTTTTTATAATTTTTCAAAAAAGACCAACAAAGTATATTATAAACATTAACTTTAAAAAGTTAAAAAGATTTTATTTCATACTTAAGCTATTATTCATTTAAAAACTCATTTAAAATTTTTAATTATATAAAATAAAATTTGTTTGTCACTTGTACTCATTTTGTGTCACCGAAACTTTTTGTTAGTAAGGCTGTCAATGGGTACCCAGGCACCTGGGTATCCACTTGTTGATTTCTGTCTGTGTAGCATTATCAAATGACAGTTACTTGTTATTTGATATGTTATTTCAAACTTATCAAACAATGATTACTTTTTATAAGTTCTTATCAAAGCTCTTATTGAAATTCTTTAAAAAATCAACAGACATTTTTTTATCATATAGTTTATTATTTTTTTTAACTCTCATTAATCCTAATTTCACAATTATTAACTTCACAATTATTAATTATTAAATATTAATTAATTTCACAATTGTTAACTTGTGCATGTGAAAGAAGATCTTGAAGATTTTGTTGTTAAAAATTTTCAATTGTTACAATTTCTTTATCATCATCAGAATTTCTAAAAATATTAAACATAACGTTCAAAAAGTTATTTGAGTTTCTGAACTCCTCTTAAACTAGTTTGTCTCTCAGACAACTCTTAAACTAATTTGTCTCTCAGGCAAAACTTTTTCAAAACCTGGAATATAGAAAATGTAACTATTTTAAAATTTATTCAACGAAATACAAGTTTCAGTTGAGTAAATTGTATTTAAAATGTTTCCTGTTTCTTCTAAAAAAAGTAGAGAGTTTGAAAGAAATTTAAGAAGAAACTTTTTACTAAAAAGTTTATACTAAAAAAATGTTATAAAAAAATAACATTCATCAAGTCAATTGTAAAAGCTAGTTGCTGTTATTTTTACTTCATACTTCACTTTTAAATTAATTGCAATAAAAACATATTTAAAAAAAAAAAGTAGAAAAGACTGTTTATAATTGAAACTTTTATTAAAAAAAATTTTTAATGGGTACTTGAATACTTGCTGTTTGTTTAACGGGTGCCTAAGCAGGTACCAGTCAAACGAACAGCATGTCACTTAAACAAATGAGTTTAAGTGACAAACAATTACAGTCCTAATTGTTTGTCACTTAAACTCATTTGTTTATCACTTAAACCCATTTGTTCATCACTTAAAGTCAATTGTTCGTCACCATAAACTCATTTGTTAAATAAAATCATTTGATATTGAAAAACTTATTTCTATAAAAATCAAACCCTCATAAAAATAAATAAACTTTAAATAAGTGGATTTAAGTATATATGTAAATATATTGTATACAACAACACAGAAAGAAACAAACAAACACTAATGTCAAACAATTATAAAAAATTTTTAATTTAAAAAACCACAATTTATTTTTGTTCGTTAACAAAAAGTAATAAGTAAAATAACAAAGTAGATAACAAATTAATAAACTTAATGATTTCTACTAACGTTATTAATTGAGCATTATCACATCGCATTTTTAATGCTCCCAACATAACCGTTGAATAGTATGTTTTGAATCCGTCTAGCGTAGTACCAGCTTTTAAAGCAATATGAATTTTGTCAACTACATTCCAAACAGTAACTGACACAACTACTACTCGTGTGTTTAATGTTTTGTAAACCTAAAATAATTTATGATTTTTAAAAATTTTCTTTAACAAATATCAACACCAAAAATAACAAACTTTAATTTTTGTGTCCCCAGATAAAAAATCATTTCATGTTGCATAAACAACATTCTATATAATGTATCAACATTATATAGAATGTTGTTTACCCAACATGAAATACCAATATTAAAAAATAATCTCAATTTAAAAAAAAAACCTGAAGAAATTGCGTTTTAAAAAATCAAACAATATATATCTTTTTTATAAAACCAAAAGCTTATTTCAATTGACATTTATTACTGAAATTTTTAAATAATGAGTTTTAAAAGCATTGTTTCACTATCTCATGACATGAAGTCATAAAATGCCAACAAAATTCCTTTGAAAGTGATTTAAAGATATTGTTTATTATTTGTCTTTTAATGTTATTTTTCTTACTTTTCTTTTTTTTACTATTGTTTATTATTAATTTTTAAATTAACATTTAAGTTTGCATAAGCGACATCCTCAATGTCAATCTTTCTTTTTTGTTTTTATTGTTTTTATAATTTCATTTTTTTTTTTGAAGATTAAAATTACATTTATTTATTTAACATGTCATGTTTTTATTTGATTTAACTAGTTCATGTAATTTATTGATTGAATTATAATTCATGTATTGTTTTTATATTTTATCAGTTTTTAACTGGTTGTGTAGTGTTTTGTATTTAGCTAGTACAAACTTATAGCAATTATTTCAATTATAAGTAACAATTATTATCATTGTTGTCAATATCTTAACAATTATTGTTATCATTGTTGTCAATAAAGCTAGAAGTGTACTAAATATTAGAACCTCTCCTATTAGTAAACAACTTTGAAATGTAATAACATATTTCTGAAAAATTGATTGATTGAATGGTAAAAAAAAACTGTATTTAAAAATATTTTAAAACTGTATAAATTAGTCTTTCTTTTTTTTTTTTTTTAATTCTTAATGACAGAGAGAAAAGAAACTAAAAAATTTATGTTTTACGCAAGACATAACTTAAAAAGTCAAAGAGAACTTCAAAACAAGAAATTTCCAAACCCAAGCTAACACAAAAATTTCTTTAATCTAAGTTGAATTCAATTAACTTAAATTATTTTGATTTTCATCACAGCATATTTGTAAAATATCAACTTTTGAATTTATAAATGTTCTTATAAAACATATTTAAATTTTGATTTTATTTTATTAAGTTATAAATTAATACTTTTAACAGCTTTAATAGTTTGATTCTAACATTAAACTTTAATAGTTTGATTCTAACATTAAATTCTAACATTAAACATTAAAAGTGATTATAACATTAAACTGTATATAGAAAAAGTGATCTAATTGTTGAATAAAAAATATAGTGATCCATTATGCAGGGACATCTTTGAACATTTTTATGTATGTTAAAAATGTAAGAATACTGACTTTATTTTGATAAACATAAAAACACTGCAATTTCATTCCTTTGACTATTTAGAAGAAAAAAAGTAGTTAAAATGAATAAAATATTAATTTATTAAAAAAAGTTTAAAAAATGTTCAAAGCTGCCCCCTTTTTTCCTAATAATTTAAAATCAATAACAGATATTTAATAAAATTATTTACACATAAAAAAAGATTTTTCACAAACATTCAAAAAAAAAAAAAAAAAAAACCTACACTACCAACATAAATAAAATTAAAAAAAAAAAAAACTACGCTAACAATATAAATAAAATTTAAAAAAAAAAATTTTATCAACATAAATAAACAAAAAACAAGAAAAACATACACTACCAACATAAATAAAAATTAAAAAAAAAAAAGAGTAAAAAACATACACTATCAACATTATTGATAATTTCTATTGCAAGATTGATTGCTTTTGTTTCTCCAAGTTCATGAGTCTAAAAATTATTTATTCTCATTACAACACCCCAGCAAAAATCTAAAAACTCTCCAGGGTATAAAAAATGTTTAGAAGTAAAAATTTAGAAACTTCATACCAAGTATAATTAATATTGGTCAACCAAATTGAATTTTAAATTTTTTCAATTGGTTAGACTTGAAAAAAAAAATCGAACTATTTTTAATTATAATATTTGTTAAACTATTTTAAATATGAAAAAAATCAAACCAAACTGAACCTTAAAAAAATCTTAAAAATCAAAGTTATTAATTTAATCAAACAAAATATGCTCAAGAAAAACAACTGAAAAACAAAAAAAAATACTGATTTTTTAACCTTTGTCCAAAATGAATTAATAACTTTTATTTGTTGAAAATGAAACCAAGATCGTAGACCAAAACAGAAAAAGAATAATGTGAGCTATGAATGTTACTATTTAAATTGTTTATATTTGGAGTATCTCATACCATCTAAATTGGTTTTAGAAGTTGATTTACTTAAATACCAACATACAGGGTTGCCACTATAATTCTAGAATAAAATTCCCTGATTTTCCCTGATCTTTTCAATGAAATTTTGCTTATATTTCCCTGACATTTCTATTATTTTTACTCAATAACTTAGCATTAAAACTTTAACATTAACCCCCAGATTTTCAATTCCTTTTGTTTGCAACTATCTATTTTCCTCTAGATATTATTAAAATTTTAACTAGTCATTGCTTTTTAGATATCATAAGATCTTCAATAATCACGTGTCTTTTTTCACAAAAGACAAGTGACTTTTCTTTCATGTTTTCACTAAGCATATTACTATTCATACTAAAGACGCTCTCAACTAATGCTTGACCATGACCTAACAGAAAAACGACTATCAAGACTTTTGAGAAAACCTTGTATTTTATACCAACTTTGATGGTTTTGAAATTCATCTAAACAATTTCAAGTGCGATTTTTTTTTAATACTAGTATTTTTTTAATAATGATCAAATATATTTGAACAATCTTTTGATTAAAAAATTATTTACTATAGAACATTTAAAACATTAAAATAAAATAGTACAAAATTAAATAATTTGATTTTCCTTGACTTTTAACTAAATCAATCTTTTCCCCCTGATCATATCTAAATACCCTGACTTCCCTGATTTCCTTGATTTGGCGGCAACCCTGAACATAGCAAAGGAAAAACCTAATTTTCCCTAAGTATGCATACAAATAATTATATTTTTATATGTACCAATACATATACTCAATATTTTTATACGTACCAATACGTAAACCCAATATTGTTTAGTCAGATAATGATACACCAAATTTTTCAAAGTTTGTAGCTTAAAATCTATTAAGCCAACCATGTCAAATGAATCCCTTCATCTAAGAATAACAAGACTATCTTTGATTTAAACTTTATAAAGGTTACTCTCGAAAATGAATCAGATCAGATTAAGATGTTGTACTGAAAAACAACCATAACACTGTTTCATTAAAAGATGTTTTTGTCAGTGAAAATCTCAACAACTAGAGATTTTTATTCTAAGAGCTAAAGAAGATTCAGAGACAAACAAATATATACTGCATCAATGTCATTCAGAGACAAACAAATATATACTGCATCAATGTCATTCAGAGACAAACAAATATATACTGCATCAATGTCATTCAGAGACAAACAAATATATACTGCATCAATGTCATTCAGAGACAAACAAATATATACTGCATCAATGTCATTCAGAGACAAACAAATATATACTGCATCAATGTCATTCAGAGACAAACAAATATATACTGCATCAATGTCATTCAGAGACAAACAAAGATACATCTATGATTGAAACAGTTTAGCTTTTTTTAATTTATAACCATAATTGGTTTAAACAGACTTCCATGATGTTCGTTTCCTACTTGAATATAGCATTATGTAATACACCATACTTATTTTATGATATACATTATTATTTTATGATATATATTATTATTTTTTTTTTATATATGAAGTGTGTACTTATTTACAAATGCAAAGTTCCACTTAAAATGACCTAGCATTGCATCTGCAGTAGAGTTATTAAAAATCCAAAATATAGTATCAAAAAAATCTTAGAAGACGTTAGGACTCTGTTTCATTTAAATTTCTTTTTACATTCAACTGACTGAATTATTTACCTTTCTATTATCAACCACTACAGCTACTTCTATATATTTTTTATCTGAAACAGCTCTTCTTTCCTATGAAGAAATAAATAGAAATAATAAACCCTGTAAATAAATAAATTTAAAATTTTTTTATACAAAAATTTAAAATAGATTAAAAGCTATGACACTAACTATAACATAAGCTTTGGCACCGAAGTCAAATTGACGTCAATGAAAAATACAAAATTAAATACTTATAAGTTAATTGAATACTACAAAGAATATTTAATGGAAAACTTACCACAAAGAACAGATTGGATACCTCATAGGGTTAAATTGTCTAATAAAGTATCACTTAGGTTAAAAACAAAGGTTCAACTTTACACAAGACATAAATTTAGTCATTCATCTGTAAACTCGATACCTTAGTTGGTTAAATTGTCTAACGAGTGTCTATAACCAGAATTGGAGTAAAAATAAAATAGTTGCGCACCATGTGGTACTTTTCCTTTTAATATTCAAAAAGTATTTTGATTAATGTTTTAATACTTTGACTTGATTTGCCTACAGAAAGTGACACTTAGCCTACAGGAAATGAAAAACTTAAAAACTTACTCAAATTTGTGCTAATTAAAAGAAAGTGTTTTAAAAGTAAGAGGTAACGTTAACAAAGAAGGGGTGTGGGAACGTTAAGAAGGGGTGTGGGAAAGAAAAAAGATTAAGAAACCAGTTGATAAATGAATGTAAAATAAAATAAAAAATTATACTAGTCTCTTACAAAAATTTAAAATCAGTTAATTATTTTTTAGGTAAAAATTCTAAACTTTTGAAGGAGACTGTATATTAATATTGTTCTAGGAAAAAGATTTAGGAAGATGTGTGGAAAGGTTTAGGGAGATGTGTGGAAAGATAAGGGTTAACAAAGATTTTGAATTAAAAAAATTTAGGAAAGAGATGTGAAAAAAAAAAAGGTTGAGAAAAGATTTAAAGTATCAAAATAACTTATAAAATATTATAGAAAAATAAATTAGCTCAATAATAAATTTTAAATTTTTTTAAAGTATTGTTACCCTCCAATGTTCTTTGAAAAAGTGCTGTATACTAAAATCATGTTCAACTACGTTTCTTGTATGATTTAGACCTAAATTAAAAATACATATATATCTTTGCGAATTATGGCATTTAAAACCTAAAATAAACTGTTTTATATTTTACCGCATTTGCCTTTTTTCTTGGTAATAAGATCTTTCATTCTGTAAATTATATAAGTATCATTTTCTTTCTAAATGTAAAAATAAACTAATGATATTTAATTAAAATTGTTAATAAAAAGAAATGTTTTGTGTAAACTTGTAACTAAAGTTATACTTGTATAAAAATATGTTTCATAAAGAAAAAAATTCTAATGTAATTTGTAGTTTAAATAGAATGATAAGTATAAAAACTTTAAATACAATAAAAAATAGTTTAAATACAAAAAAACTATAAAGTTTAAATACAAAAAAAGTTTACACAGTTCAATAGCAGTTCAAAAAATGTGTTTGTTTAATTTTAACATGTTGTACATGTTGATTTGACATTTTATATTAGGCTGCAGAGCTAAAAAAAATTCTAATTAAAAAGATGAATTGTTATAAATTTCCAACCATCTTTTATAAAATAAAAACAGTTAAGGTCCTAAATACCTAGTCACTGGAAACTTGGATGTACTTTTAGTCTATGTTATAAATTGCCTCAACACTCAATATATAAACAAATTTATGAAAAGAAGGAATTGGATAGAATTACAAAATACATTTTTTTCCTTTTAATTAAGAAAAAATTGCAATTAGATTTCAATTAAAATCTTAAGTATTTAAAAATTACCAGGTTTATATAAAATAAATCTCATACATTGTTATTTGTAACATTGTTTTTCTCTTCATTATTTATTTTTTCGACAAAAAATTCTTCTCCATCACTATCTTTAATGAGACCCCTAAAAAAAAGTTTTAAATTAAATGCCTCTATGATGTAAAACCTGTCTAAACTAGATGTTTACTTTAGGATTTTTATTACCTCAATCCATCACAAGTACTCATTATAACTGATGAACCAGTACGATTTAACAAAAACCCTTGGTAGTGGCAATTTTCTATATTCTATGATAAAGCATTACACTCATTATATTTTATTTATTGAAAATATTGGGCAGAATCATGCCTCATGCTCCTCCTTGCTTTGACAAGTTAAATCGCTTCCATAGTATATTTTAAAATGGACATAATAGTTAAACATTAAAGCAAATTTTACAAAACATGTTCCTTTTTTTAATACGATACTGAGTATTGTGAGACCAATACAAGTTTTCACAAATTCAATTTAAAAGTTTTCTTTTTTTTTTCAGAATATCTTTTAAATGAATTCTCAAATTATTTAAAAATAGAAAAACAAATACCATCTCTGTTCGAGCATACTCGGATCCATCTGGTTTTTGAGTAAATACTACAAAATTATCTGACAGTAAATTTCTAAATAAAATATATATATATATATATATATATATATATATATATATATATATATATATATATATATATATATATATATATATATATATATATATATATATATATATACATACATACATACATACATATGTACATACATACATACGTACGTACATACATACATACATACATATATACATACATACATACATACATACATACATACATACATACATACATACATACATACATACATACATACATACATACATACATACATACATACATACATACATATATATATTATATTATATTCTTGAAATTTTCATTTATTATTTTAAGGTAAATTACAAAAAACTTAGTTACAAAACTCAAATTTCAAAATTTTATAAATCTGTTACTTTTTTAAAGCATATTTTATTGTTGTTAGGAAAAAATTCTTTAAAAAAATTTAAGCTAACAAATTTGAAATCTATTAAATAATTTATAGGAAAAGACTTATATAAAATAAAATAAAAATATTTGGTTCAAAAAAGCGAACAACTCATTGACTTTTGCATTATTTCAATTATACCAGATCCATTCACGGAGCAAAAAATGGGGGTCATAACAACAATCAAATGGAGCCTGCATCAATGAAGTTTTTTATACTTATTTTTGATGAGATTAGATATGTATAAAAAAAGTTTTGAAAGTTTTGAACATACAACTTTTAAGTATTGTGAAGGAAATGTAATGCTTTGAGGATGTTTATTTTGTCAAAAATCAATAATAAATTTTTTCTCAATAATAAAAATAGAAAATTTAATGCCAGCTGTCATATGTAATTGATGCAAAAAATATTAAACATTAATAAATAAAACTATTTTTTTTCTTTTAAATGTTTAAAAATAATAAAAAATTTTTGCTGATTAAAACTCAAACATCAACATACTCTTGAACTCTGAGTTTTTCATCACTTTTTTTGTTAATTTCATATTAAAGTTATTTATTATATATAGCAACGTTAATCAAGTTTGGTAACAATGTCACATACATAGAAAAGCATAACAAATAATGAATGAAAACTTCAAAATTGAGAATGTAACTTAACCTTTGAGCTATAACTGCACACACAAACATACAAATACAGACTTATACGCACAAATATATATACACACACACATGTGTATAAATATAAAGGCTTCACTAAGCAGACTTTTGTCTGCTTGGTGAATTTACTTGTTTTAAAAACCTTTAAAATAAGTAAACTTAACTTCTTTATCTTAATTTTTTTTTATAGTACATATAAAATACTATATGTATTAAATTTAATATAAAGTAAATAAATTATCAGGAAAGCTTGTATATTAAATCAAATATAATACAAAAAAGTCCTAATGCATCTTGCAAAAAAAAATATATATATATAAATATTAAAATGAATTAGAATCAGAATAATGACCTATTTTTATATAGATAGACAACAAAATATCTACCAAAACCATAAAATTCATATACTGTTTCATTTAGATGGTCGCCCTAAATCAAAAAATGTAAAATTATTTTTAATAAGTTTTCAGATGAATTAAAAAAATAAATATATATATATATATATATATATATATATATATATATATATATTATATTTATTATATATATATACATATATAAATATATATATATATTATATATATATTATATATATATATATATATATATACATATATATACATACATATATATATATATATATATATATATATATATATATATATATATATATATATATATATATATATATATATATATATATATATATATATATATATAATCTCTTTTCGATCGCCTAGAACAAGCAGCTGATCTTAAATCCGATCTCACTTCGGTAATAGATTGGGGTTCACAGTGGCTTGTGAATTTCAACTCTAACAAAACCCAGTTGTTTACTGCAAACAACTACCGTAATATGGTCAACATTCCTATATTAATGAATGGCAATCCTCTTACTGAGTCCTCCTCTTTACGTCTTCTTGGATTATCGCTTACTACTGACCATTCATCTAGTTTTTTTCCCCGCACTTCAATCCTTTGGAACTCTCTCCCATCTTCATGTTTTCCTGACTCATACAACCTTCAAGTTTTTTCTCCTAGTAACTCCCAACTTAATAGTGGTTGCTTGCAGCCTTGTTGGGAGTGAATGCAAATAAAAAAAAAATATATATATATATATATATGTATATATATATATATATATATATATATATATATATATATATATATATATATATATATATATATATATATATATATATATATATATATATATATACATAAATCTATTTTAATAGTTAAGTGGCTAGATGTTTAAATGTTATAAATTGATGATAAAAATATATATATATATTCAAAACATTTAAAAACATATCAAAAAAAATATTTAAAAAAACCGATAAAAAAATTGATAAATATTGTTACCTGTTGATTTTTAGTTGACAAATCTCTTTTATTTCTTGCATGTTGTCCAACATGATCTAGTTTAATTATCTCTTGATATAAAATATTACCATTTGTAATATGAGCTAAAATAAATATACATATTTACAATACAGCAGGTTTGATATATTTATCTGTATAAAAATATAATTTAATTACAATATCACTTATTTTATCTAACATCCATCATATAATTTCTTTTGTTCATATATGTGAGAATATTTCAAAAAGATTGATCTTTTACTACATTGGTCTAAACTTTGGGGCATAAAATTTAGTATAAGTAAATGCAAATTAATAGGCTTTTATGGTGGTTTCGATATTTTAGACTAATTTCGATATTTTAGACTTTGGTATGCTTAACTCATCAAACACTCATATTTCTTTTGAAAATGTTGATATTGAAAAGCCACTAGGAAATTATTTCAACAATAAACTTAAGTGGTCTGATCAAATAAGTAATGCAGCATTAAAAGCTAACAAGATGTTTGGTATTTTTATAAGAACTTTTATGAACTGGAATCCTATTATGTTTTTAAAACTATATACTACCTATGTTTGCCCGCTGCTTGAGTTTTGCGCTCCAGTATGGAACCCCTATTTAAAGAAAGATATTGAGAGACTTAAAAAAATTCATTGCAGAGCAACTAAACTTGTTCCTCAATGAAGAAACATGAACTACGAATCTCGATTGGCAAATTTGGAATTAACAACACTTTCAGAAAGATGACTGAGAGGCGATTTGATTCAGTATTTCAAAATCTATAAGAATTTTAATGAAGTCAAGTTCCTAATTTTTTTTTTTTTTTTTAATTATCTTTGCTTCCAACAAGGTTGCAAGCAACCACTAATTAGTGTTGGAAGTTACTGGAAGAGAAAAGATGAAGATTGTAGAGCAAGATAACGATTGACAGACGACTTAAAATATTGCAAATTATATGAATCAGGAAAGCAAGATGAAGGAAGCGAAAACTAGACGAATAAAACTAGACGAATAAGAGTTTTTGGAGCACTTAGGAACAGTAACAGAAAAAGGATGAGACTTAATTGAATGACGAGTAACACGAGAATGAATTTTAGTAGATGGCACAAGAGACGCTAGCTCTTTAGAGCAGTGCCCATTATAGTATTTGTAGAAAAGAGAAAGAGAAGCAACATTACGACGATGTGACAGAGGTTGAAGGTTGGCTGCAAGAGCAAGTCCAACTATGTTTACAATGCGTTTTTGCACCTTGTCTAAAAGAGAAAGGGCATTATTAGAAGATCTGCCCCAGATATGGCAACAGTATTCCATACAAGGCCGGATTTGAGATTTATAGAGATAGAGAATAGAATCCAGAGTAAGAAAGTGACGAGCTCGATAAAGAGAAGCAACTTTAGCAGATGCTAATTTTGCAACGGATTTGATATAAGGTTTCCAAGAAAGATCAGAAGTAAGAGTTAATCCTAGAAGATGAAGGGTAGGAGACTCATCGGGTACATTACCGTTCATAAATATAGGAAGGTCTAAATTATTGCAATATTGATTGGCCGAGAAAAATTGAGTTTTATCTGAATTAAAGTTCACCAGCCACTGCGAGCCCCATGCTGTAGCAGAAGTGAGATCCTTTTCGAGCTCAGATGCCCCCTGCAAGCAATCAGAGGGAGTTGGCTTCTTATCGTGATAAGAATAAATGGTAGTATCATCAGCGAACAATGCCACCTTAGATGTGAGAATATCTGGAAGATCGTTAATGTAAATTAAAAAGAGTATAGGGCCAAGGATTGAACCTTGGGGAACCCCTGAGGTTACAGAATAAGAAGAAGAGTGCTGTCCATCAAGGACAACTTTTATACTACGATTGGAAAGGAAGGATTCAATAATCTTAAAGATGTTTCCAGATACACCATAAGAAGAAAGCTTATGGAGGAGACCAGCATGCCAAACTTTATCAAACGCTTTAGAAATGTCAAGAGCAATGGCCTTAACCACTCCACCTTTATCTAATGCGCGATAAAACCTATCGGTTATTACTGATAGCAAATCAGCCGTAGAACGAGAAGATCGAAATCCATACTGATGATCAGAAAGTAGGTTATGAGATTCGAGATTCGAGATTAAGTGTTTGTTAATTAAAGATTCAAAAACCTTGCTTATGATAGGAAGAAGACTAATGGGACGGTAGTTAGATGAGTCAGATCGCTCTCCAGAATTTTTAAAAATAGGGATAACAGATGCTGCTTTCCAGCAAGCTGGAAAACAAGACTCTGATAAGCACTTGTTGAATAGTTTTGAAAAGATAGACGACAGCTCAGGAGAACACTTCTGCAAGACTATAACAGGTAGTCCGGGCCGCAAGCTGTAGAAGCGGGAAATCACTTTAGATACAGAAGCTGGAGTGATACGAATGTTGAGCAATGGATCAAACTGTTTGACGGGTATATCAGGTAAAATGCAATTAGTGGCATCAAGAGATGATATTGATGAAAAGTTCTTGGCAAACAATTCAGCTTTGTCTTTAGGTGAGGTGACAAAGTCTGAACCGTACAAAAGAGGTGGAATTACAGACTTGCCCTTATTATTGATACTATTAAAGATTCTCCAGAATTCACGAGAGCCTAATTTTTGTGATGAAATACAAGATTTCATGATCTGAGAATAGCGGGTTTTGGCGTTAGACAAATCCAAATATAACACCTACTTGTTTTTTAAATTGTTCTGCAGGAAACTTATGAAGCAAAATCCGCAACCATGCCATTGTAAGAGAAATTTCAAATAATTCGAATAGACATAACTTCTTACCTAATAGAATTGCATCCCAATGGAATGTCTTGCCTTCTTCTGTTGTTTCCTCACAGTTTGTCAATGAACTTAAAAATAAATACGATAACTTTTGTTGCTCCACTTTATTGTAAGTCTACTATAGCAGGGCATCTTTAGATGTCCAGTTCATAGAAGCTAAC